TTTTACGCTTTTCTCCAGACTATCTTAAGAAGAAAGCACGAAGCGGAAAAACGTAAAATCGGGGTTCCACTATTTAAATTATGCTAAAAATGACTTTCTCCTCACAGTTGCTTGTTACTTCCATATTTTGCCTGGTTCAAATTGGACATGCATTCAATGTCTAAAATTAATCTAAGTCCTTTCAAATGGACTTGTCATCCATCATAAATTTCGTTCATTTAAAATATGGGAGTCAGCAAGGTATTAATAAAAAATGTTTTGTTTATGAACTGTTAGAAACTTCCCGGAAATAATGGTTTAAACAGCAATTTATTAAATTTTGCTATATTCAAACAAAAACAGTTTATGTAAATAACCAGGCATAAAATGGTAATTCAAACTGTTAACTGTAACAAAATCGTTTATTAACTGATTTCACCTAATACGGTTAAACATCCAGAATTTTATCGCACCAATTAGGCCTACTTAATGGAGCCATTTAGTTCCTTGCAGTTGGTTATAATAGACGAACGAGCTAATCTGCCAATATCATGACCGATAAAACGAGGCATCGAATCCCAGCGCGGACACTGCAATATTTTCTTCGCACCCTTTAACACATGAAGAGTTTCTAGGGTCCTAAACTCTCCAATTTGTGACCCTGAACTATTAGAATACGATACTTTCATTCGCGCATAGATGGCAACACCGTACAGCTGCTTAACACAAAAAAGTCTAGAATTCCCTATCGCTTGCAATAGTTAAAACAATCAAATAAACTAATTAAACCACATTTCACGGTTCATTTAATAGAACACAACTCAGCCACAACCTAACTCTAATACCCATTACCTAACAAAAAGCCTAACTCCCATGTCCAGTTAAATTACTTTTTTACGGTTTTGAAACCGTGCTAGATGTAAATGGTAAAAAAACATATAGTTTTGTATTTATGATTTTTTAACTATGCTTGTCGTATGCATGTTACGGTTTTAATACCGTAAAGGTAAAAAATATTCTTTACTGCAAACTCTACGGTTAATTGGATTGGCACACTGCTGCCAGTTATTTTACCGTAATTTTAGAAGGAAAGTTCTAACGGTACGAAAGCAATATGAATGAGAGTCTCTACTAAACTAACGTCAATCATAGAACAACTTTTTTTTAAGCAGATAAACTCAATAAATATTTTCTACTATTGAGCGTAATTCTACAAACATGTCAAAGGGCAAAGATAATACTAATAAATGAACTTTTAGCACTTCTTTTTTATGAACTGAATGAACTTTTTGAACTGAATTAATGAACTCTTTGTACTTTTTAAAAATGATCATATTCAGAAAAATCAAGTATAATGGGTATTATTGAATGACCAGCTTTATTAAATATTTTTAGAATCCTTGTCAACAATATATATAATATAAATAATATTAAATATACCTATAAAAATATACCTATTAAGCACTACGAACTAATAATTTAGCTGAGAAAAAAATAAAGTACTACCGAATTCTTACAAATTTCATGTATTGATGGCAGGATCAAAATCATCAGAACCTATTTAATTTCGCGGGAAAAGGGGAGTTGCAACATGAATTAGAAAAACTTTCAAGCTTCATTCGGAAATAAAAAAGATAAGGATATTTTAATTGTTTTTACACCTGCCTTTCTCAATAGTGATTAGTCACATTTCGACAGCATTTTTTCCTCCTAGCTTGGACATTAATTTCCGATCCCAATGCATATTCTTATTTTTACTTCAATTTTTCAAGGATTCTAAAAATATGCTTTAAAAATGGTGATTATGGAACACTCTACGAAAAGAGGTAACAGATATAGGAGAGAGTGGGGCAAGATCGAGTAGTGTGGTGAGACCAGGTTCCTCAATTGTGTCGAAATTAGTTCTGGTACTTATTAGAGGACGAACTCTGAATTACAATTTAATAGTCAAGAATAAGGACCTACTATATTGGCATGCTTTTGCTGAATAATTCACGCCGTCTGTGAAAATGAATATGCTTCGCCATGTCAACTTTCTAATGTTCTTTTGTTTTTCAACTAGCCTTATTTATTGACCATTACAGTTACAAAAGTTATTTTTAGTTCAGCTTATTATGTGTTTATTAAAACATCGGATGTTGTTATTCTTCTTCCTCCGCTGCACTGCAGCTTTCGTGGGCGCAGCATAGATTAACACCAAGAGGGTAGAGGCAAAACCGGGAAGTACCTCATGCTAACTCTAAATTTAGAAATAGTACAGTTTCTGTAAAAAAATTGCAAGCATTTCTGTTTTATATGACAATTTAAGAAAATTACATACATGATGCTTCTTTCGTTGCATTGTAGCTTTTCTCGGAGCAGCATANAAAACAGAAATGCTTGCAATTTTTTTTACAGAAACTGTACTATTTCTAAATTCAGAGTTAGCATGAGAGTAGAGTTAGCATGAGGTACTTCCCGGTTTTGCCTCTACCCTCTTGGTGTTAATCTATGCTGCGCCCACGAAAGCTGCAGTGCTGCAGAGGAAGAAGAATAACAACATCCGATGTTTTAAGGGTCTCAGGACAAAATTTACTACAAGCCCCTTCTTCAAAGCACAAAAAACCTTACTTTCATATATTGTAGAATTTTTAAACACCATTTATACAAAATTGTAATTTTTACATAGATATAAAAAAAATTCTCAGCAACTTTCTTTCTGAAAGAAATTAATTAATAAGTGTAATATTTTTCTAAAAATTGATTGGACCCTCAGCAGTCCCGACCCCTGGAACAATTATTCCCATTTTGAGTTCTTTACTATATCACACGAAAACTAAATGCATAATTTTCTAAAACTGTCATACAAATAGAAATGTCTGTTGCTTTTTTTATTTCTAAATTTAGTATTTCTAAGCTTTCCATCGAGTTAACATGCGTACTCAATTTTACCTTATTAGTGAGGCGATCGGGTGATTTAACTTATTCTAGAAAAAAAATCATTGTTCTTGAAAATGTGGAAGATTATTCTTCCACATTTGTGTTCTTCCACACAGGTGTGTTCTTCAGGAATGATATATTGTTTACATAAACAATGACTATCTTGATTAAATCTAACGACTTCTAGTTGGAACAGTTTAGCTCCAACAATCCTTCGAAACTTAGCTATCCGGTTATACTTCACTTTCCCCTGTTATATAAATTATTGAATATGCGATATTCAAGACTATCAATTTTCAGAGAAATAATAATTAAATAAATTTAGTACCTTTTTTTATTCAACTTATAAATACGTAAATGTAACAAGAAGTTACACCTACTTAAGTTAAAAACTGAATAAATATTACGTATTTTTAACCTAATGATAATCAATTAAGTCGAGTAATAAAACAGAATTTCGGTCTTTTACCAGAGTTATTATTTTAACATAATAAACAAGGTATCAAACTAAAGGTATCATTACTTATAAGAAGAAAAAAAACAATGAATTTATTAAGGGAATAAAGATTTCGGTCTTTTTAATGGACTATTAAGATTTGTGTAAGAATCGAAGAAACCATTGTTAGATTAAATATACTAAATAAAACTTTCATGCTAATAAAAATTGAAATATTAAGAAAAGTTAGATGAATTTAAAGAAATAATCTTTAATGATGCAATAACAATAAATCTTTTATTCTTTTGTATAAATGATAATCAGAGACAAAAAAAAATTCTACTGTAAACAAACGAAGTCAAACATCAGTGACAAAAAAATTATAATTGACAAATAAATCGAATAAATATTTTCTACTTTTTTGTGTACTATACATAATTATATACTAATAATTATATATACTAATAATTCAAAAATGTCCACAAAAATGATTTAAAAATTCATGAAATATTTTTCTTTCAATTTGTTTTATTTATTTATATTTTTTTTTATATTTATATATTTTGCATCTGTAAATGCATTTTGCCCTTTATCATAAAAATATATAACAATAAAAACTCAAAACTGACTTAAATAAATTAAATATTTTGGAATTCAATATTGTTAAACTTCAAAATCAGTAACAACTTAATTTTTATTTTACGCATTGTAGCTGGCACCTGTGTCTTAGTTAAAAAAATATGCAGCAATAATGTCGATTGCGTGCATATTATCTTATATTAATCTATTTGCCTAAAATAGCATTTTTACAGCCTATCGCTATTCTGATTTAATTATATTTATCATTTCTTTTAATGCTATTTCTTTATTAATTATATTAAATTTTCTTATTTGTTTTAACTAAGCTTGCGTTTTGTTAAACAAATTATTCAATTGTATAAAATGCAGATCATCTTTTGCTTCAAGGATCAAAATTTTGCTTTTTGCTCAAAGTGAAAACAAAATTGGATAATTTGTTCTGTTTACTAATAATTGAAATTTAAAAATAATTTAAAAATACATAAAATATTTTTTCCTTTTATTTATTTATCTATTTTACTTTTTTATTTATCTATTTTATTTATTTCGTAACTGTTAATACATTTTGACCTTTACCATAAAAATATTTAACAATAATGACTAAAAACTAACTTAAATAAATTAAATATTTTGGAATTCAATATTGTTAAACTTCAAAATCAATAACAACTTAATTTTTATTTTGCGCATCGTAACTGGCACCTGTGTCTTAGTTAAAAAAATATACAGCAATAATGTAGTTAGCATGCATATTATCTTATATAAATCTATTTGCCTAAAATAGCATTTTTACAGCCTATCGCTATTCTGATTTAATTATATTTATCATTTCGTTTAATGCTATTTCTTTATTAATTACATTAAGTTTTGTTATTTGTTTCAACTAAGCTTGCATTTTGTTAAACAAATTATTCAATTGTATAAAATACAAATCATTTTTTGCTTTAAGGATCAAGTTTTTGCTTGGGGCTCAAAGTGAAGAGTAAAATTGACAATTTGTTCTGTTTCCTATGAGATATTCAAAAATGATTAATAAAACATTTTCAAGAATCAAATCACTGAATAATTAAAAGATAGTTCGACTTACCGAGTGTATCTTGAAGTTCGACGTACAGTTCTCTGGCCAATTTGAAGCCGTCGAGTGAATGTCGATGTCGATGAAGATTTCTGATTCAAAATAATTGACCTCTGTGTTTTTTCAGTTCGAAAAGCACTTCTCTGAGAACTCATTTCACTGTAAACTCTGTTCTGTTTATTTATACCACTCTCAAACATAGAATTAGACTCAACATCACCGCTTCGAAAATTACCACCACGCGTAAATCGTTCCTTTGAAAATAACCCATTCATTTTTTCATTCATTTCGTTGTCGAATTCGTCTGGAATGTTTGAAGAACTAAATTGAGGTGATCCATTACTTTTAAAAACACAGACTTTATTTTCAGATTTAGATTTATCAGGCTCTTCGCTCGATTTATATCCTGGCATAATATTATCTTTTTTTGAAAAATGGAATTCTGCAGATTTTTTTTCTTGCTGGAATTCAGCTGCAAATGCTTCCATTGTTGATTTTTCCGATTTTTCAAAGCTCATTTTTGTACCGGTAGCTCGCATTTCTGTAGAATTCTGAGCAAAATTTAGCATATCTTCAAATCCAATCATATCACGATTGTTTGGAATAGTGCGTCTGTTCATGGGACCCGAAAACACAATGGCACGGCTAGTGTCAAAATCTTGCTCAATATCACTTTCATTGTCTTTCGATATATTTTCTTCAATTATCATATCAGGTCTGTCTTCCAATCTCTGGAAACTAATTTTTCTTTCTCTTCTTTCCATAGGTAAAATTTCAAAGTTCCTTTCATTATTTTTATCAACTAATACAAATTTAGAGGTTAAATCCTTTTCGTTTCGAAGATTCCCACAAGTTTTGGGATCATTGAAATTTGCCTCATATGGTTTTTCTGATAGAGGGACACTTGGCTTTGGATCAATTGGAGTCTCTTCAAAACTAGTCTTATCTTTCTCTTTCAAAAAATCGATATTGCCTTTGTTGGCAATACTTTTTTCAGGAAAAAGATCTGATGGACGTGCATTAGTAGCTCTTTTGTTTTCATTGGCATGTAAGAAAAGACCGGAAATGCTTTGTTTGTTTAAATCTCTAGATAGTGAATCACTTTTCTGTATTTCCGATTGACTCCAAAAATCTTCTGTGTTAACTGGTGAATCTTCCTGATGGTATTCCTCTGACTTTTGTTCAAATGAAGAATTTTGAGAAGTGCTATATCCGTTAGTATTTATGTCTGACTTATCCAGTTTTTCATTGGGTATTGCTGATGAAAACCCAACATTTTTATTTCCAGAGTTAATCAAATTAAAATTTGGCTTATTGAAAATATTACTTTTCATGCTCTGTTCAATTGGTAATGATTTTTTTATGGTGCTTGTAGAGCTAATTTTATCTCTAGCGAGTATTGGCCTTGATATAATTTCTTTATCAATGAAATCTTCACCACGTTTTGTGCTAGGGGAATCTTCATTTGATAAGCTCCGTTTATAGAGTGGTTGTTCGTTTTGAGGAGAAAAGCAATTTATTTTCTCTGGAGATGGAAGTTGTTTTTCCCTCGTGAGCACTGAAGCAATTTCTCCTTTTTTAAGGTTGAGACTAGCTGGCCTAATATTGGTCTGAATATTTGCTTTTTCAGGAGATGAAAGCTGTTTTTCCTTCATGAGTATTGATGAATTTTCTCCTTTCCTAATATCAAGGCTAGTTGGTCTGTTGTTAAAATTATTTCCAACTGAAGATTTATTTTTTGATGTCACCTTGATATTTTCTTCAGTTATTGGTGACTTAAATGAACCTATTTCGTTTGTTGGGGATGATTTGGCATTACATTCAAAAGAGCTACTGCTAATTGGACTAAATAGAGTTCGAATTGGTGATAATGGTGAATCTTCAGGATCCTTGGATTGCCAACGGTATGAAGCATAATTGTCTTTGGGAATGCTTGATTCTCTCCTGTTGTTCAGCACATTCTGCTCCATTTTCTCTCGTTCTAAACTGCTACTCCCTTTTTTTCCACTAGAGCAATTCAAATATTTTTGAAGATACTTATTCTGTTTGCTCCTGTCACAGCCAATCTCAGGTTTACCAGAATTATGGAGTCTATGGCTATCATTTTGATTTTTTGCTGATTCTGAAATAACCGGTTTAGGATCTTCTTTCTTGAAAAAGTTACCATATTCTCTATTGGAAAGCGGAGAAGGGTTGTTTTCCCTAGTTTTGTCCTTTATGGAGGTATCGGAAGAGAGCAAAGTGCTGAACCTTTTCGATGGTGCTGATCTGAAGTCATTAGTAGGCAAAGAAGTATTTAAGGTACTTAATGAAGAGGACAACTGCTTCACATTCTTCAAAGACCGTCCTTCTCTGATTCTAGAATGAAGAGCTTTAAATTCCTGATATCCACCATCAGATGCAGGCTTTTCTTTTTGCTCAATTGATGTAGATGTGTGGAGTAAATTTAAATTTCCAGAAGGCAAATTTGAATTAATTAAACGTGATTTTAAAATAGGTGGGCTAACGTTACGTCTTTGAGGGCTGGGTGATTGCCGATGGTGATCAAAAGCTGTCGCCCGAACATCTGGAATATCTTGAGATGGTAATTTCCTGCCATCTCGTTTAGAATTACGCTCCAGCAAACTGTCAAATCTAGGGTACAATTTTTCTGCTGCAGTTTCTTTTTGTTCACCGGTAGAAGACGAACGATTTCCCGCCCTACCAAGTGTCGATGACTTCGAAATAATACTACTTAAAGGCGACTCGAAAAAACTCGTTGCAGCACACCCACTCCTACGAAATCTCGGAAGTGTTGATTCCCGTTTAGGAGTATCCATTGCGAATTCCTTTAAATCTTGTTTCCGATTATTTTGAGCCATCCGCTTAGAATTTGATGATCGGTCTCTTTAATAGCATGAGAATTATGGTAGGTTTATTTCAGCGGTTAAACTCGAACTCTCGATTATGTTTGTAGTTAAAGCAGGTGCACGTTACCACTACTGTCCTCTAATAGAAGCGCATGCCTTAGCCGCATAAAAGCGCCCTCCATCAAAGCAAACAATTACGTAAATTGCAACGTAAGAAATGTTTAGATTATAAGATTTATCTAAAAAGAAAAAGAAATTGCTATTTTTCTTTTTGATAGTAATCAGCAGGAAATTGAAAATCAGGTTAATTGCAATTTTCCTTTTCCTTCTATGATGGAATTACTTAAGGCTCGTCATTAAGTTTTTTTTAAAATTCATTTTTGATTATATTAGCGATTTTTATTGTTAAATTATTAAAAATAGATTATATGACTTCTTAACTATTAAAAAAAACAAAAATATTTGCTGTTGTTCTTTTTCACTATGCATTCTGTATTTTATACATGAAGTAAATTAGTGATTTTTAGCCATGTATATTTAAATTAAATAAAAATATTGTGTATTATGCTATTTCAACAAACAGCGTGTGACTATAATATTTTAGAAAAAATAATCCTTAGATTACTGAAACATGTTTTGAACATTTAAAGTAAAATTTATTACTATAACTCAAGTATAGTTTTTCGTGCACACACATAAATTATATGAACTTTATTTTTGCAAAATACATTATGGATTTTCGTTCGAAATAACTATACATATAGTTTATTTTCAAAACTGTTATAAGTAATTATTAAAACGGTTAAATGTATAAACTGTAGATTGACCGTACGTGATAAATTAAAGCAAAATTTGTAACAAATAATTCAAGTATAGTGCATGTTACACACACATAAATTATCCAAACTTAATGCAAAATGTTAGGTGGACCGGAAAGTAATGTCGTTTCGATGAATTTGATATTTTTTATCAAGATTTTATTTTTAATCAAGATTTTATTTTTAATCAAGATTTTATTTTTAATCTAGATTTTATTTTTAATCAATAATGTATTCACCCTCGTTAGCAACAACATTTCAATGCCAGATCGAAAATGAATCGAAATGAATAGAAAAAAATAAATTGGTTTTTAAGACTAACGAATATTCAATGCGCTTAAACGACATTACTTTCCTGTCCCCCTAATATATTATAGGTTTAGGTTCGCTTAAAATAGATATACATATTAGTCATTCCGAAAAAGTTATGTAAGTTTCCGGAAAGGTTGAAGTTAAAATGGTTAGAATTTAATAGCATAAATGGTCATTAAAAATGGTTATTTTTAATTATAAATAAAGTACTTATAATCTCTTATATAATAGGTTGACGAAAATGTTTGGTACCGGATTAAAGGAAGTGCCGGATTGGAAATGTGATAAATAAATGTAATAAAACATGTAAATTACGTTGAATTAAAAGTCAAATTTCTATTTAATAATGCTAAAGGTATATATATGTATATTTTTTTGATTTAGTGAAATGTTAATTTTATTTGAAAAAAGATGTAAGACATACATGTTTGCATCGTTGCATCCCAATAAATAAACTCAGCAATCGAAATAATGATTTAGTAATGTTTTTCATAAGAAATTCCTTAATTAACATACTATATGGCCAAAAAAGTTTACAAAAGAAATTCTTTTTAAAAAAAAATTTTTAAATAATTATTTTTTTAACTTAAAGTTTCTAATAATAAATTTTGATAAAATTGAAATTATCTTTTTATTTAAAAAGTAAATTACCGTATTTGAGTTCATAAGAATCTATTCTTAAAAAACGGTAGAGCTGATAACAGTATAAGAAGATTTAATATATATATATATATATATATAGTATATATGTAATAGATCTTCTGATATGTATTACAGAATGAATCAGCATTTATATCTACACTACCCTGCAATAACGGAAGAGACACTTTCAGTTTTTGACAATTTTTTAAATTTCTCAAGAAATACTTGAAGGATTATTTTGTAACTTTAGAGGAAATTAGTTCATGCAATTTTCCATACAAAGCAATAAAGTTGAAAACTTTCAGTAGTTTTAAGGACCGACAATAGCTTACGAAAGAACGCAAGTATTTTTGATACCCTAAACTGGAATATGAAGAAATAAGCTTATTTTTTATACCGATTTAGGTTTTAATTAGCAATAACTGCATAAAATTTCATGAGCCTACCTTAAATATTTGTGAAGATATAGACATTTTTATATAAAAAAAGACTTTTTTATCTCACGTTTTTACCATAACTTTAAAAATATTCAATAACATCAAACAAAATTTTTGGTACAATTAAAGGACAATTACAGCATTATTGCTTTAAAATTTCGAAGCAATTCGTTAAAAATTGCTCAAGATATGATTATTTAAAGTAGTTGTTTTTTATATTGCGCATGTGCAAAAATAATTAAAAAATTCTTTTTTATAATTTTGAGTGAATCGTATTTGGCAACTAATGAAAAAAGTCTGATTTGAATATCTTGAAATTAAAGGAGTTTCAAGCAATTTTTTAAAGTAAATTTCAAAATTTTGAAAACAAAGCTGAAAATGATAAGGGGTTTTCCACAAATTTCATTTTGTACTATTAAACATGATTTATTAAAAATGACATCGTAGAGGATATCCCCATAAAAGAATGTTTTCTTTCCTTATACCATCATCACAGTTTGGTGTCCGGACGATTATTGCAAGATAATATCATTTGTCACCACTGAAGGGGTTTTGTCTTCAAGATACAAAATGATACTTGTGGAAAACCCCTTATCATTTTGAGCTTTTTTTTTTTTTTTGAAGGAAGTGCAAAAACTACTTACGAAAATGCTTAAAACTCTTTAAATTTTTAAGATATTCAAATCAGACTTTTACATTAGTTGCATAAGACGATTCACTTCAAAATCATGAAAATTTTTGTTCACATTTTTCCGCGCATGCGCAGTATAAAGGAACTACTTAAACAAGTTGTTCTTGTTAAAGTTGTTCTTGTTACAACTTGCTCAGTTTTAAACGGTTTTTTTAATCAAATTTTAAAACAATAATTTTGTATTTTATTTTAATTGCTCCAAAAATTTGGTTTAATTTTATTAAATATTTTTAAAGTCATAAAAATAAAAACGTAACAAGAAAAAAATTTATTTTTTATAAAAGTGTCCGTATCTTCATAAATTTTTAAAGTTTGGTTTATGAAGTTTAATGCAGTTATTGCAAGTAGCAACCAGAGTAATCGGTACAAGCTTATGGTTCGATTTTTCGGCTTAGGGTGTTCGAAAATACTTGTTTTCTTCCATAACTTATTGTCGGTCCCTAAAACCTCTGAAACCTTTAAACTTAATCGATAAATAGGAAAAATCGCAAAGTTGCAACATAATCCTCGAAGTATTTCTTGAGAAATTTTAAAAAATATTAAAAAATGAAAGTATCTCTTACATTATTTTTTTTTTCCAATGGTAGGCACTGAATTTGAATCTTTGCCTATACTATGCCAGAATTGTTGCTCATTTCGCGTTACCCAGTGGGCACCTGTGAACCAAAGTCACGGAGGCGAGCAACATTGCCCACGCCACACTGCCACAAACCCGTTCATAGGGTGGGCCACATTCACACATCATACACACACACAACAGAGGACAGCACAAAGAGAGAGAGAATCATCCATGCCCACAGCGGAATTCGAACCCGCAGCCTATGGCTTCGCAGTCAGGCACGCTAACAGCTCGGCCGCCTGGCCGGCTATCTCTTACATTATTGCTGCAGGGTAGTGTATCTATCAATCTATCTATATATGTATACATATATATATAAGTTCAAAGTGAAGATAAAACAAGGAAAAACTATAGACATATGAAAAGGAGGGGGGGGAATAATAAGTAAAAAAATAACAAACAGTTTAAAAAAAAAAGGATGAAATTTTAGTTAAAAAAACCGGGGAAAAAAAGATATAATCTTTTCATCAGCCCACACGATTATATCCGTAAAAGAGAGTGCTTTCTGATATTATATCAATATAGCCAAAGCAAAATATATTAATACAGTAGTGTGAGGAGCACTCAAAAAAAATTTTTTTGCAAAAATTACAACAAATAAAATAGAATACAATAAGTAAAAATAAAATGTAAAAACGGAAAATAAAAGAAAAAGAAAAAACGGTATGAAACATAGACTATAAAGCGAGTAGCGAAATCAGATGTATAATTACATGGATGGGAAATTTTTCAAGCAATATTATGCGCAATAAATGAAACTTATTGTTTTTCTTAACTTTCCTCGTGTTTTCTTGTATTTATTTATTTATTATATATATATATGTGTGTGTGTATATATATATATATATATAGTTTCTTTTTGAACGAAAATTACGATATGTCATCATCATTGAGGGTCGCCTTGCATTGGTCGATTGAAAGAAAACTTTATGTTGTTGCTTGAAATGCTTAATTTGGACGAAGAAAATTTTCTTACTGCTCCATAAATATTACTTGGCATGTATGGGTCTTTTTTATAATAATAAAAATACACCCACTCATTTATATAAATTCACTGCAAACATAGCAAAAACTACATATGTATGTATTTATATAAAAACGTAAAGCATCCGTTACATGGCATTTTCTAATAGACACTTGATTTTGCTTGGTTCAGACTAAATATTTTTTTAAAAAATATTTCTTGCATATGCCAATAGACATTTTAAAAAATCATGACAAACCGGTGATTTGAAATTGAACTTTTTAGCGCAAAATAGTGTATTCGGTAGAAAATGCCATTAGTTGGGCGGTTAGTGAATTTTCTTATAATATATTTGCACGGCGAAATTCATTTAAAATTTAGTTCATATGATTAAATAAGTGTCATATATATTATTCAAAAATGACTATATATACCTAAAATATTTCTGGGACATTTTTATAACATTTAAATTTGTCCAGCAAACAAGAATTCATTAGCATCAGCGTCGCTGAAATCGCTTATTATAAAAATATGTTTTGAGACATGTAAATGCTTCTACCAACACAGTAAGTTTGGCGGAGGTGTTCATATACGTTACTGTTTATG